GCAATTCTGATACTATCTTTCTTAATTTCACTTGGTTCTGTTGTGTTGCCACCCAATTTGTTTCTTATTTGTGTTATTTCTATTCTCTCCCTCTTTTCCTTTGTTAAATTTGCCAGTGGTTTGACAATTTTATTAATCTTTTCATAAAACCAACTTCTAGTCTTGCTGTTTTTCTTCTATTGTCTTTCTGTTTCATTTATTTCTGCTTGAAGGTGATGTAGTGCCTAAGGCATTTGACTGCTCACTAGAAGGCTGGTGGTTCAAACACACCAGCCACTCCTTGGAAGGAAGATTGGGCAATCTACTTCCATAGTGATACTTACTGCCTTGGAAACCCAAGGAGGGGTTGCTTTGAGTAGGAGCTGATCGGAGGGAGTGAGGTTGTGTTTTGTTTTTTCTTCTGACTGTAGCCTTTTCTTGCTGTTCTTTTTCTAATTGTTAGAGATGTTGGTTTAAGGTTTTGATTTTGGCTCTTCTTTTTTAATGTGTGTATGTATTGCTAAATTTAAATTGGCCTCTGATCACACCTTTTACTGTGTCCCAAAGATTTTGGTATGTTGTGTCGTCATTCTTGTTTGATTCAAGGTATTTTTAAATTTCATTTTTTATTTCTTCTATTACCCAGTCATTCATTCTTAAGGTGGGTGGTGTTCAGTTTCTATGTGTTTGCACTTTTTCTATTCATCTTCCCATTGTTGATTTCTAATTTTATACCATTGTGATCTGAGAAGATAATTTGCAGTATTTCGCTGTTTTTTTTTTAATTTATTAAGGCATGCTTTAAAGCCTAACATATGGTCTTACCTGGAGAATGTTCCATGTGCACTGGAAAAGAATATATATTAAGCTGTTGTTGGGTGAAGTGCTCTGTAGCTATTATAAGGTCAAGTTGGTGGACTGTATTGTTTAGCTCTTCTGCATCTTTGTTGAGTTTCTTTCCAGTTGTTCAGTCTTTCATTGAAAGTGGTGTATTAAAGTCTCCTACTATGTCTGTGGAGTCATTTGTTTGTCTTTTCAATTCTTTTAAAGTCTGGTTTCTGATTTATGCATTTTGGGGCTCTTTCATTGGGTCCGTGGGTATATTATGGTCGTGTCTTCTTATTCAATCAATTATAAAGCATCAATTGGCAAATGAGGACAAAACAAACCAAAAGAGGGAAAATACTGTGCAGTTACAGAACTTCTAAATGGTAAGGAAGTCAAGAGACTTGCAAAAACAGAACGGACTATACTAAATGCAGGAGCTCTGGTAGCATAGTGCCTAAGGCACTTGACTGCTAACCAGAAGGCTGGCGGTTCAAATCCACCAGCTAATCCTCAGAAGGAAGGTTGGGCAATCTACTTTTGTAGTGATACTGCCTTGGAAACCCAAGGAGGGGTCGCTATGAGTCGGGGCCAACTCGACGGCACATAACAACAATAACAACAATCCTGTTCGGGTTCATCGGACTTCCTGACTGGCTATATTCTCATCTTTCATCACGTCAGGGAAGTTATTTTCTAACAAATCTTGAGAAATTTCTTAGATTTTGTTTTTCTCTTCCTGTTCTGGAATTCCAATTACACATAGGTTATTATTATTATTATTATTTTATGGTATTCCATATGAACCTTAGGCTTTCTTCATTTTGTTTTGATCTTTTTTCTGATTGATCTCTTTCCAAAGATGTATTCAGGTCTTTGTCTTCAGTCTCATTAATTCTGTCTTCCATTGATTCGATTCTACTCTTTTGCCCTTTCAATGTGTTAACCACTTCTGAAAACTTAATATTAGTATTCTGGATTTCTGTTTGTAGATTTTGTATCAATTCTTATTTTTCATTTATTTTGTCATTTTGTTCTCCTGTTTTCTTCCAAATTGTTCTAGGGTTTTGTGTATGTTTTCCCTAATTTTGTCAGTGTTTTCTTTGATCTGTCTCTGAATTTGTTGAAGGTTCCTAAATATAATCTTTTTGATTTCCTTATCAGGGAGTCCCAATGCTGCTGCTTCCTCAGGGATGTGTTCTTGGTCTGTATCCTAATCTCTTGTTTCTGTTGCTTTATTTTATTTGTGTGGACTGTGATGGTCTGTTGTCTCCGAGGCATTGTGACTTTGTTATATTTATATTTATCTGGTGATTGTATGCTGCAGTAATATGCCCAAGATTGTCATTTTGGTTTTATTTTTCTTTTTTGATGTATCTGAGTAAGCAGGGCACTGTCGTCTTCTATTCTCTAGTTGACAGTACTTAACCCACTCACCACTTGTCTCCTCGGGGGTGTAATAGAGAATGAGAGTGACTGCCACATCTCTGTTAACTGTTTTTGAAGAGCAGTTAAGGGTGTGCCAGGCCTTTAATGGTAATCATGTATCATTGACCAGTTGGTGCAGAAGAACATGTTGGCACTCATTCAGTAAATGGAGCTGCAGGAGGTGCAGGTGTCATTGGATCATACAGGCATGGTTGCTGTCTCCCACTCAGACAAAAACAACAATCCAAAAACCATAAAAAAAAAATAAATAAATAAAAGCAAGAGGACAAAAACCACAAACTATATAAACACACAGGAACAATCACCAAAAAGAGAAAAAGAAAAAAGAAAAGTTAATAAATGAGAGAAGATATTTAAACAAATACTTTAGAAAGCCAAAAGAAATATGAATAGAAAAAGGTGGGGGGAACCTGCAATCTGGGGAGGGGGAAATAAGAGAAAAGAGGTAGAGTAGGAGAATAATGAAGAAGAAAATGGGAAAAATATGAAAAGAAAAATAAGGAATGGGGAGAACCACAGGAAAGAGAAAAATGGGAACCAGGAAAAGGGAAGAGAAAAATTCAAAAACTAGAACCTGGGAAGGGAAGAGTAAAGAATAATAGTATAAAAGAACTGTATGTTTGTGTGTACACACACACACACACACACACTTAATTATTATGATTTAAAAATGGACACAAACAAACTGAAAAAAAAGAAAAGACAAAATATCTGGGCGGGGCAGGGCACCCAGGTTCTGTCAGAGCATACAGACTGGGATAGAATTTCCACTGGCTCAGAAGGTGGGTAAGAGTGAGGGATAGCCGTGCCTCTGTTCACCAAGAGCATGTGGGGCATAAGAGTAACAAGGGGAATAGTATACCTTTCAAGTCTTCAGTGTGTCCTTGCAGTCCCTGGCAATTGGAGTCTATTCTTAGGTCCCTGGAATCTGAGAAAATGCTGTCAGTTTAAATATCTGAAATGGTCAAACCGCTTTTAAATATTCAAAATGGCTGCACCTTTCGTGTAGCCATAGTCTACAGCTCAGCCCATCTCCCTCTTCGCTGTGTTCCCTTTTGTTCATCAGCCACCAGTGCAGTTCTTTGTGTAGCCTCTGACTAGCAGGGCTAATTTTTAGGTTAATTCTTAGGTCCTAACACCACTTGGCAATATCCAAGCTGTCCGTGCCGTCACGATCACTGACAGTCTGCAACACCATATGTCTCCTTTTCGGGTGTTTTCATGCAGGTTCTTCTGATAGTTTAGTCTACTTCTGTAGCAGTCCTTTCAAAGCTCAGGGCTCCAGGATTATCTTCTGTGTCTGTGTTAATCGGTTCCTCTTTTCTTTGTTGAGGATGGTCTGTGTAGTTTGTCTGCCTGTTCCACCATCTTACCAGGCTCAGCTTTACATTTATTTAAGTCGTCTTTAATTTCCTTCAGCAATGCTTTGCAAATAAAGTTTCATTGAACACTTTTGATTTTCTTACCTTCCTGTTAAATTATTGCTTTGGAAGGCCTCAGAGTTTGGAACAAGCAAGTAGAATAAACACTTCTTGAATTCTCTACAGTGAGGGAATTGAAGAGTACTTCTTCCTCATCCACGTATTAAATAATTTCACTATACACTTTATCATTATTGATAATTGTCTACAGTAGAATTTTTGAGGTTTTTTATTTCTCTGAAAAGTAATTTGGTTTAGTCAATAAGAGGAAACATTTGTTTGGCAAGTATGGAAGATTTGCATTCTTCAGAAAATATACTGTTTTAAAGGGTAAGGAGGAAAAAGGAATCTCAGGTAGGCAAAGCCCTAGAGGAAAAAAACAGTTGGTGGAGTCAGTGTTTACATTGACCTAAGTAGTGGTTTAAGCTTATGCATTTTCAAGATTACTTGATGTTCCTTTTAAAATTGTCATTCTCTTTTGGCATGATATTTATGATTTTGAGGTTTAAAATAACATTCGAAAAGGAATTGAAGTTCTTTGAAAAAGGATTAAAAAGTTGAAGAATTTGGATCTAAATAATGATTTCCTAAAGGGAGTTCTGAGAAATCTCTAGAAGTTGGTTTTAGCTCAGAGGACACTTCTAGGACCTAGAATGAAGTGAGGATTCCCAGAGAGGGGTTCCATGGTCAGAACCATTGAGGCTCATAATAGAATAGACAAACACAATTTAAACTGTCAGAGGCCATGCATATGTTCATTTTATGGATAGGGTAAATTCAGTGCTATTGTCACAGGAAAACTTTCGACTGTATAACATGATGGTAGAAAACTTTTCAGATGCACAAAATATTTGAATGCTATAAGTAAACTGATTCTCCAGGCTCCGTTCTCACGAATATTTAGGGTTAAGTTCTTAGTTTCTGACTTCTGATATATTCTGTTACTAAAACCATTACTGAATCAGTTTTATTTTGAGACTGTATTAAAACAACAACATTAGAATTTTTTAATCACTCATATCTGTAATCCTAATAACTGTATTCAGTTTTGCATGTTACTTTCTGATCTTTACTTTTATGCACACTGACAGTTCAAATCCATCAGCCCCTCTGCAGGATAAAGAAGAGCCGTGGAAGAAAGATGAGATAGTCTGCTTCTATAAAGATTTACAGCCTTGGAAACCCTACTGTGCAATTCCACTTTGTCCTGTAGGGTTGCTATCAATTGGCATTGACTTGATGGCAGTGGGTTTTCTTAGTAATGGTTCTTTAAATAAGGAGTACTGAGATAAAGAATTTTCTGTGATTTCTTCTCTTCTTCTTAAGGTATGTTTTGGGTGGAGGCGCCTTGTGTATGGAACTTCTCACAAAACAGGTGACTATTTTCTTAAAGTACTAATTTTTCAACCTCAATAGAGTGTTTTTATTATGTGATTAGATGCTGAGTGGAAAAGCTGTTATAAAATAGCACCTACTTCAAAAAAATATATTTTTTAATAGCAGTCATTTTTAAAACAGAAAAAGCTATCCAAAGTAAACCAGAAAAAATGACATTGTATTTGGTTCTTAATCTATGCTAGGATATTCATTAGAGTAACATTTGCAAGTTTTTTTGGGGGGAGAGTGGGGAGGTGGGAAATGTGGCAGATTTTCCTTTTTCCTCTTAACTACAGTGTATATTAAGGCTGGGGCCTGAGGTAGGCATGCCCGGGGTATGGAGGCTGCTTTTCGCTTGGGTGTGGCTCTGTATTAAGGCAGGGGTCTGAGGTAGGCAGGCCCAGGGCTTGGAGGTTGCTTTTTGCTTATGTGTGGCTCTATATTAAGGTTGGGGCCCAAGGTAGGTGGGCCCAGGGCTTGGAGGCTCCTTTTCTTATGGGTGAGGCTCTACATTAAGGCCGGAGCCTGGTGCAGAGGGGTTAGGAACAACTAAGGGAGATGAACTTGTCTGTCAGTTTGTTGTCCTGCGGTCGCTTACGTGTTGCTGGAAGGCTGGAGGCTATGCCACCGTGTTTTAAAATGCCAGCAGGGTTACCTATGTTGGAGAGGTTTCAGTGGTGCTTCTGGGTTTAGATAGATTTCGAAGAAGGAAGAGGCCATCCATTTCTCAAAGAATGGCCAATGAAAACCTTGTGAATAGCAGTGAAACACTGTCTGATGTGTTACTGGAAAACATTATGAACAGCCCTGAAACATTGTCCAACAGTGCCAGAAGATGAGCCCATCAGGTTGGAAGGCACTCAAAATTTGGCTGGGGATGAGCTGACTCCTCAAAGTAGAGACAACCTTAATGATAAGGATAGAGTAAAGCTTTTGGGACCTCCATTGGCTGATGTGGTACGACTCAAAATGTACAGAAACTGATTCAAACATCCATTAATAATTGGAGCATCCATTTATAATGGACTGTACGAAGTATGAATCTATGAAAATTTGAAGTTGTCAAAAATGAAATGGAGCATACAAAGATCGATATCCTAGGCATTAGTGAGCTTAAATGGACTGGTTTTGGCTATTTTGAATCAGACAGTCATATGATCTACTATGCCAGGAATGACAAATTGAAGAGGAATTGTGTGGCATTCATCATCGCAAAGATGTTTCAAGGTCTGTCCTGTAGTACAACGCTGTCAGTGCTAGGCTAATATCCATATATCTACAAGGAAGACCAGTTAATACTACTATTACCCAAATTTACGCTCCAGCCACCAAAGCCAAAGATGAGGATATTGAAGATTTCTACCAACTTCTGCAGTCTGAAATTGATAGAACATGCAATCAAGATGTGTTAATTATCACTGGTGACTGGAATCCAAAAGCTGGAAACAAAGAGGAGTTACTAGTATTGGAAAATATGGCCTTGGTGTGATAGAAAGAATGCTGAAAATCGCATGATAGAATTTTGCAAGACCGATGACTTATTCATTACAAATACCTTTTTTCAACAACATAAGTGATGACTATACATGTGGAGCTCTGGTAGCATAGTGGCTAAGGCACTTGACTGCTAACCAGAAGGCTGGCGGTTCAAACCCACCAGCCACTCCTCGGAAGGAAGGTTGGGCAATCCTACTTCCGTAGTGATACTGCCTCGGAAACCCAAGGAGGGGTCACTATGAGTCAGGGCCGACTCGATGGCAAACAACAACAACATACACGTGGACTTCACCAGATGAAATACGCAGGAATCAGATTGACTACATCTATGGCAAGAGGCAATGGAGAAATTCAGTATCTTTGGCCAAAACAAGGCCAGGAGCTGATTGTGGAACAGACCATCAACTGCTCATATGCATGTTCAAGTTGTAGTTGAAGACAGTTAAAATAAGTCCATGAGAACCAAACTATGACCTTGATAATATCCCTCCTGAATTTAGAAGCCAATTAAAAGAACAGATTTGATGCATTGAACACTAGTGACTGAAAACTAGAGGAATTGTGGTATAACATCAAGAACATCGTCCATGATGAAAGCAAAAGGTCATTAAAAAAGATGAGAAAGGAAGAAGAGACCAAAATGGGTGTCAGAAGAGACTCTGAAACTTGCCCTTGAGTGGAGAGTAGCTAAAGCAAATGAAAGAAATGACAAGATAAAAGAGCTGAACAGAAGATTTCAAAGAGCAGTTTGGGCAGACAAAGCCAATTACTATAAGGAAATGTACAAAGACCTGGCATTAGAAAACCTAAAGGGAAGAAAATGCTCAACATTTCTCAAGCTGAAAGAACTGAGGAAGAAATTTAAGCCTTGAGTTGCAGTATTGAATGATTCTATGGGCAAAATATTGAATGATGCAGGAAACATCAAAAGAAGATGGAAGGAATACACAGTCACTGTACCAAAAATAATTGGTCGTGTTCATTCATTTCAGGAGGTGGCATATGATCAAGAACCAGTGGTACTGAAGGGAGAAGTTGAAGCTGCACTGAAAGAATTGGCAAAGAAAAAGGCTCCAGGAATTGACGGAATACCAGTAAGATGTTTCAACAAACAGATGCCCCACTGGAGGCATTCACTTGGTTATGCCAAGAGATTTGGAAGATAGCTACCTGGCCAACTGACTGGAAGAGATCCATATTTGTATCCATTCCAAAGAAAGGTGATCTCACAGAATGTGGAAATTATTGAACAATACCATTAATATCACATGCAAGTAAAATCTTACTGAAGATAATTCAAAAATGGTTGCAGCAGTATATTGACAGAGAGCTTCCAGAAATGCAAGCTGGATTCAGAAGAGGATATGGAACAAGGGCTATTATTGCTGATGTCAGATGAATCTTAGCTGAAAGCAATAAATACCAGAAAAATGTTTACTTATGTTTTATTGACCATGCAAATGCATTCAGTTGTGTGGATCCTAATAAATTGTGGATAACATTGAGAAGAATGGGAATTCTGGAACACTTGATTCTACTCATGAGGAAGCTGTACATAGATCAGGAGTCTGTTGTTCAAACAGAGCATGGGGCTACTGGTTGGTTCAAAATCAAGAAGGGAATGCATCAAGGTTATATCCTTTCCCAATACTTACTCAACTTGTATGCTGGGCAAATAATCTGAGAAGCTGGCTTATAGGAAGAAGAATGTGGCATCAGGATTGGAGGAAGACTCATTAACAACCTGTGATACGCAGATGACACAACTTGGTTGCTGAAAGTGAGAATGACTTGAAGCACTTATTGATGAAGATTAAAGACTACAGTTGGCAGTATGGATTACACCTCAATATAAAGAAAACATCATCACAACTGGTCTAATAAACAGCTTCACAGTGTATGGAGAAAAGATTGAGGTTGTCAGGGATTTCATATTACTTAGCTCCACAATCAACACCAATGGAAGCAGTAGTCAAGACATTAGATGACGTGTTGCATCGGGCAAATCTGCTGCAAAGGACCTCTTTCAAGTGATGAGAAGAGCAAAGATGTCTCCTTGAAGACTAAGGTGGCATAATCCAAGCCATGTTATTTTCAGTAGCCTCTTATACATTTGAGAGCTGGACAATGAATAAGGAAGACTGAAGAAGAGTTGATACTTTTGAGTTGTGATGTTGGTGGAGAATGCTAAGAGTACTATGGGTCTGCTAAATATACTAACAGATCTGTCCTGGAGGAAGTACAGCCACAATGCTCCTTGGATGCGAGAATGGCCAGACTTTGTCTCACCTACTTTGGCCATGTTGTTAGAAGGAACCATTCCCTGGAGAAGGATATCATGCTTGGTCAAATGGAGGATCAGTGAAGAAGAGGAAGACCCTCAACAAGATGGATAGGCACAGTAACTACAGCGATGGGCTCAGGAATAGCAAGGATTGTGAGGCTGGCATATAGGACTGGGCAGTGTTTCGTTCTGCTGTGCACAGGATCACTATGAGTTGGAGATGACGCGACGGCACCTAACAATAACAACACAGTCATCTTAATGTTAATTTGCTCTTGCTAAGTTGATATGCCATTTATTAAGCTTTCATAAGTGGGAATCAGGAATACCACAGTGTTCTAGAGAAACATTTTCTTCTTCCCATAGGGCTGGAGCAGTGCCTACTCAATAGAATCTGTCATCATGCAAATCAATGCCACCTTAGTCAAAGGAAAAGCCAGGGTGCAGTTTGGAGCAAATAAGGTAATTTTATAAAGAATTTCACATTAACCTTAAGACATTGCCTTATGAACTTCTTCTTGTCTTCACATAATTTTTTGCTTATTTGTTTTAAAATTTCTATTGTGATTTCGGTGAAAGATTACAAAGCAAATTCATTTTTCATACATATTTTATCTCATGCCATTGACTGCGATTCCTCACAGTGTAACAGCTCTCTTCCCACTTCTTCCCTGCTGCAATTATTGTATATTCCTGATGTAAATGTTCAGCCCATATGCCTGTCTATTATTTGGCAGGAAACTCTAGGAGTGAATTCCGTTCTAAACCTGAAGGGCCTAGGGCCTGTAGTCTCAGAGGTCTCACCTGGCTCTGTCAGACCAGCAAACCTGGTTTTTTTCTTTTTATGATTTTGAGTTCTGTTCCACATTGTTCTCCTACTTTATCTAAGATCTCCTGCACTGACTCCACTCCAAGTGGCTAAAAGTGATAGCCAGGCACCATCTAGTTCTTCTGGTCTCATAGTCTTGTAGGATGAGGATCGCATGATCTGCCAGTCCCTTGGACTAACTGTTTCCATGTATCTTTGGTTTTCTTCATTCTTCTTTGCTCTGGACAAGGAGAGACCCATTGTGGCATCTAGATGGCTGCTTGGAAGCTTTTAAGATCCCAGTTGCTACTTCAAAGTAGGATGTGGAACAATGTTTTTATGTAGTTTATTATGCCAATTGAGCTTGCTGTCCCAGTAGCCATGGTCCTCTGGGTAGCTGGCTGTGACCAAGAAGTCACCAAAACCTTGTCCCTTGTCAGCTCCACTCTATACTTGGAAATTCTTATAGAACATACAAATACACTTTTAGAAACATCGTTTGCCAACCCTATACATGATCATAGGCATACTCCCCTCTGCCTAGACATACCTGATCACTCAGCCTGTCTACTTACCTGTCTGTCCATAGGTCAATGCTTGCCATCCCTGACAATGCAGTACTGTAATATGCAAAAGAGTTCATCTTTGTTATTGACATAATTATTTTTGAAACAATTTATTTCATTTTCATCTGGTTGGTTTTCTTAAAAGAATAAAACCTCTAATTACAAAAGTGATCTGTAAGAAATACAGAAGCTCAAGAAAATGAGAACTATCCATTGCTAATCAGTTATTTTGATAACTTTTTTTTAATGTTTTTGGTACTTATTAAATATAATTTTAGATTTATTACTGATATGTCTGTCCTAAGAGGTAGAAAATCATGTGTACTTTGAAGTTCCCCAAAATTGAGATCATGTTGTAATAGTTAGTTCCTAGTCAGCACTGATCTGATAGACTCTAGTCTAAATTACTTTTCCACACTCTTAATACCCTAATATCCTTTTAATAACCTAAAAGGTAGGCACTATTATTGTTCTCATTTTATAGATGAGGAAACTGAAACACACAGGTTTTAGGTAACTCGTCTATGGTTAGAGGTGGCAGCGTGAAGATTGGAATCAGTCTGACTTTTGGTCCTGCTTTTAACTGAGTTCTGTTCTTTCTTCACGTATTATCTCAGAAACATCTTTCTATGAGTAATTGTAGTTGTCTATAAGTGAACACTTAAATGCAGCAAGGAAGTACTCTGAAGTTGGTGTGTTTTAGAATAGTAGTTGTTTATTGAAAATTATCCCAGTTTTTCAAGAAATCTGGATGTTTCTAAAATTCTTTTGAATGTTGTCTTGAATGTCTGTTCATACAGTATTAAATCTAACTATGTATTTCTATGCACATTGTTCTCAAATTATGAATCGTTTAGAATTTTAGTTCACAGAGGAAATAAAAAACTAGAAAATGTATTTTTTTTTTTAAAAAAAGCATTTATTTGGATTAATACTATAAAATAACCAGTTTTTACTTTCAGTTATTTAGCATGTTTTTCTTTATACTGGAGTAAAATGCCATATTGTGTAAAAGTCAGAAATTAATTAGTGAGCGTTGTATTTAACCAGCATTTTAAATAATTTTTTAGCCTTTTAAAATGTGACAATAAAATAATTATGTACTATAACATCAAAACTTTATTTTTCTAATGACAGAATTTATGCTTACACTATGAAATTTTTTGATTAGATTGAAAATGGAGAAAACGAAATAGATCATCTGTAATTTGATTATCTAGAAATACTAGTAATATTTTAGTGTATGAGTGGTTTTTAAGTATTTTCCTCTTCACATTTATATGTATAATTTGATATCGAATCTCATCATAATTTTGAATTTTTCATTTCATGTATCATGTTTCACCAATCATCTGTCAGTTTGTCACCATACTTTGGTGGCTTGCATGTTGATGTGAGGCTGGATGGAGGCTATGACAGTGGCATTTCAAATACTAGCAGGGTCACCCATGGTGAACAGGTTTTAGTGGAGCTACCAGACTAAGACTGGGGCCATCCACTTCTCAAAGAATTGGTCAGTGAAAACCTTATAAATAGCAATGAAACACTGTCTCAGATTACTGGAAAAATTTATAAATAGCCCTGAAACATTATCTGATATAGGCCAGACGATGAGCCTCTCAGGTCAGAAGGGGCTCAAAATAGGACTAGGGAAGCGATGCCTTCTCAGAATAGAGTTGACTTTAATGATGTGGATGCAGTCAAGCTTTAGAGACTTCATTTGCTGATGTGGCATGACTCAAAATGAGAGAAAACAGTTGCAAACATCCATTAATAATCAGAACATGGAATGTATGTAAGTGTGGGAAAATTGGAAGTTGTCAGAAATGAAATGGAGTGCATAAAGATCGACAGCTAGGCACTAGTGAGCTGTAATGGACTTGTTTTAGCCATTTTGTAGCAGACAATCCTATGATCTACATAGATCTATGATCTATGTGGGGAACAACAAATTGAAGAGGAGAAATGGCGTGGCATTCATCATCATCAAGAATGTTTCACGATCTGTCTGAGATACAGTGCGGTCAGTGATAGGATAATATCCATATACCTCCAAGGAAGACTAGTTACTACTACTATTATTCAAATTTATACACCAACTACCAAAGCCAAAGACAAGGAAATAGAAAATTTTTACCACCTTAAGCAGTCTGAAATTGACGAAACATGCAATCAAGGTGTATTGATTATTACCGGTGATTAGAATGTGAAAGTTGAGAACAAAGAAGAATCACCGGTAGTTGGAAAATATGACCTTGGTGCTAGAAATAATGCATGATAGAATTTTGTAAGGCCAATGACTTACTCACTGCAAATACCTTTTTTCAACAACATAAATGGTGGCTATACCTGTGGACCCCACCAGATGGAATACAAAGGAATCAGAGTGACTATATCAGTGGTAAGAGGTGATGGAGAAGCTCAATGTGGTCAACCAAAACAAGGCCAGGAGCTGACTGTGGAATAGACCATCAGTTGCTCATGTGCAAGTTCAAGTGAAGCTGAAGACAATTAAAACAAATCCACGAGAGCCAAAATATGACTTTGTTATATCCCACCTGAATTTAGAGACCATCTGAAGAATAGATTTTGACGCACTGAAAACCAGTGACCAAAAATGAGATGAATTGTGGGATGGTATCAAGGACATCATCATCCATGAAGAAAGCAAACGGTCATTTGAGAAGGAAGAAAAGACCAAAATGGATGTCAGAAGAGACTTTGAAACTTGCTCTTGAATGTAGAGTAGCTAAAGCAAAGGGAAGAAATGACAAGCTGAACAGATTTCAAAGAGCAGCTCAAGAAGAAAGATTCAGTTATTATAATGAAATGTGCAAAGACCTGGAGTTAGAAAACCGAAAGGGAAGAACACAGTTGGCATTTCTCAAGCTAAAAGAAGAAAAAAAATCAAGCCTTAAGTTGGCAATATTGAAAAATTCAATGGGAAAATGTTGAATAATGCAGGAAATATCAAAAGAAGGTGGAAGGAATACAAAGAGTCACTGTACCAAAAAGAATTTTGGTCAATGTTTATCCATTTCAGGAGGTGGCATGTGATCAAGAACCATTGGTATTGAAGGAAGAAGTCGAAGCTGCACTGAAGGAACTGGCGCAACACAAGGCTTGAAGAATTGTCGGAAAACCCATTGAGATATTTCAGTAGACAGACGCTGTGCTGTAGGTACTTGTCTATGCCAAGAAATTTGGAAGATAGCTACCTGGCCAACTGACTGGAAGAGATGTATATTTGTACCCATTCCAAAGAAAGGTGATCCCACAGAACGTGGAAGTTATCAAACAATATCATTAATATCATAGCAAGTAAAATTTTGCTGAAGATAATTAAAAAATGGTTGCAGCAGTATATTATTGACAGCGAACTGCCAGAACTGCTGCCTGTATTCAGAAGAGGACGTGGAATGAGGGATATCAAGATAGATCTTGGGTTGAAAGCAGAGAATACCAGAAAGATGTTTACTTGTGTTTTATTTACTATGCAAAAGTATTCAACTGTGTGGATCATAAAAAATTATAGATATAACACTGAGAAGAATGGGAATTCCAGAATACTTAATTGTACTCATGAGGAACCTGTACACAGACCAGGAGGCTGTCATTCAGACAGAACAAGGGGGTACTGCATGGTTTAAAACCAGGAAGTGTGTGTGTCAGGTTGTATCCTTTCCTCATACTTACTCATTTTTTATGCTGAGCAGATAATCCAAAAAGCTGGACTATATGAAGAAGAATGAGGCATCAGGATTGGAGGAAGACTCATAACAATGTGCAATATCCAGATGACCCAGTCTTGCTTGCTGAAAGTAAAGATGACTTGAAGTATTTACTGATGAAAGTTAAAGACTACAGTCTTCAGTATGGATTACACCTCAACATAAATAAAATGAAAATTCTCACAACCGGAACAATAAGCAGCATCACAATAAATGGAGAAAAAATTGATGTCAAAGATTTCATATTATTTGGTTCTATAATCAACACCAAGGGAAGCAGCAGTCAAGACATCAGACGACGTATTGCCCTGGGCAAATAAGCTGCAAAAGACCTCTTTCAAGTGCTGAAGAGCAAAA